ACGAAAGTGGCAGCTGTGGGCCTGACAGCGGCGGTGGATACGGCTATTTATACACACTGTGGATACGGCAACGGCAGCGGATCCACAGCAGCGATGGAATCGGCGGCAGCGGACAGGAGCTGGCCATACACGGCAATGGCAGACACAATACCGCCGGTGAGTACGCTTGGCCGTCTCGCTGCTGCTGTGTCTGTTACGCGCGAAGACGGTGGACTGCTGCATCCCATCGGTTATGATCGCCGAGTCACTGAAGAGAGGTGGCGAGTTGCGGAGAAAATAATCCGTGTAATCTGAGAAGCACAATCCGCCCTATCATTCCTTAGGACTATAACCGGCGATCCATTCTCGTCTTTGAGCACACTTCTCTGTGCCTATTGACGGTCCACCCGAGCGATCGGTAGGGGCAGCTCTAATTGGAACACATGCACTTCTGTAATTATTGGGCGCCAGAGCAGGGCGACTTTTCTCATCGGAGATCGTTCGTCTCGACGGAAGACAGAACCGACTTAGCTGGCAGTCACAGCGCTGCACCAGTCGGTGGTCGACTCGGCTCATTTACTCTTTCATTTCATGGCCCTGAAATGGTCTCAACGAACCGATAAGGAAAACTCAGCATCAGTGGCGGCGGAACACCTTCAATTAAAAGAGACATTTACACGAAAATTATATCGCACAAAAACTGCTTTCTGACAAGGTCCTAGACTCTGGAACAGTATCATAACCCCCCACTTTTTGTTGTCAGAAGATTGTGAAGCATCAAAACAAATCATAAAGAGACATACAAAAAATCAACTAATACTCAGATACACATAGCAAAAATAAGGTTCTCAAGTCATTTTAGTCGTCAGTTATTAAGTCCAAAAATTTAAATTTAAACATGCTTTATAAAGTCCCTCTTGAGCTGAAAAAGGATTTCAAGCAAATATGCTCCAATATACCTATTCAGACTATACGCCACATTCCTTTGCTGTGACCTGGGGACTCGACCAGCCTTGCTTAGCTGGAAGAGTTCCCCTGGTCACACCGGCATAAACACACACACAAAAAAAAAAATCGAACGCACGATCTTTAGATCACGGTGCAGCCATCCTAACCACTACACTACCGCGGTGGCGCAGCGGCCGGCGGAAGGGAGGCTGCGGAGACATGGGGCTTTTTTTAGTAAGAATATAAAAGCGCCAGTTTTGTATTATGTAATTGGATTTGCCGAAAATCCAGAACTACATCTTAGAGCTATTTTAGATAATATTTAATTAGGCCTTTGCCTGCTTTTACCTAGGCGTTATTTCTTTTTTTATTACCTAAAAGAATTATTGAACGCTTGTCTTCAATAGCTGTAAGGTGCTCTCCTAATGACCAGGTAAGATTGATTTGAAACGGATGTGACAATGCAACATGGTGCATTTTCTGAAGCTGTCAAGCTCATGATCATGAGGGAACAATTGGTACCTATAATTAGTATTGTATACCAGAGTGCAAACTCCCCTACTTATGATGGCAAATGATGAAATCATTACAGGTTTTCGAAGACATTCAATGTTGCTGGGCATCCTTTGCATGATTTTTACAGGCTAGACTGCTTATCAGAATGTAAGTTTAACCTTCCAGGCGGTGGGGGGCATTTTTTCGCCCCCCCCCCCTTTAGTTTTTTCGATATATCTCGAGAACCGCTGCGCCGATCGTCACCAAACTTTTAGTAGGTACCTACCCTCCCGGGAGTAGCTAGCGCACATGGTGACCTTTTTTTTTACAACGGCTATGATAGGTTGGCCGCTAATGACGTCAGAGTGACGTCATTTCTGCCATTTTCGACCAAAAAAAAAAGGTTTCGCGGGAAGAGCTGTCAGGTCTACAGCTTTAGAGATACAGAAAAATGTTTTAAACATAAAAGGTGTGAAATCAAGAGCGCTACAAAACTGCTCTTTCGGTTTTTCGAATTTTTTTGATGTCGACCCCCAAAAATAAAAATAGATTTTTTGAATATAATAGCCGAAAAAATCCAAAAACTTTTTGAATTTCGAAAAAACCGGAATATATGTGATAGTCCCTACCGCCTTCTATCTACATACCAAATTTGAGATCGATATCTCTTTTTTGGCCAAGTTATAGGGAAAAAAAACTGTTCAAAATTGATGACGTCAAATTTTCAAACTCAATTTTTAGCAATTCTAGATCTCGTAGAGCAAAACAAAGACCACCATTAGACTCCCCGTGACGAGCTGCATCGAATCAATACCCATTTTATGCAAAAATATCAACTTTGAAATTTGACCTTTTTTGACCTGACCTTGACCTGACCTCCACCAGAAAGTGACCTTAACCCGGCAGGCGGTGGGCCTACCAGCCACCTTCCGCGCGGTGGGGGGGCACTTTTTTGCCCCCCCCCGTATCTCCGAAACTACTGGACGGATCCGGAAAATTCAAACGGCGTTCGATAGCCCTGTCAAATTTGTCGAGGAAAACCGAATTTCATTGACCTCGGGGTCACCGATGACGTCACAGGTCAGGTCAAAGATAAAATGTTTCACCGTTCACGGGGCTTCTAGGGAAAGCGCTATAACACCGAGTAAAACGCATTTTGTCGAAAATCAGCGATAAGGCGTCAGTTGTCTAGTACATATGTTGCTATTAGAGGTCACTGGTCATACCAGGTCAGGTCACAGGTCAGGTCACCGAAGGTCACCAAGGGTCACCACATGAGCCCAACTTTACTAGGGTTATGCGATGCATGTTTTATGGCCAGTTTTTCATTTCCAACTCAATGGTGTTGGTTATAAGACCATGAGATACGGTTTAGGTCACTTTCTGGTGGAGGTCAGGTCAAGGTCAGGTCAAAAAAGGTCAAATTTCAAAGTTGATATTTTTGCATAAAATGGGCATCGATTCGATGCAGCTCGTCAGGGGGAGTCTAATGGTGGTCTTTGTTTTGCGCTACGAGGTCTAGAATAGCTAAAAATTGAGTTTGAAAATTTGACGTCATCGATTTTGAACAGTTTTTTTCGCTATAACTTGGCCAAAAAAAGAGGTATCGATCTCAAATTAGGTATGTAGATAGAAGGCGGTAGGGGCTATCACATATATTCCGGTTTTTTAGAAATTCAAAAAACTTGTTGGATTTTTTGGCTTTTATATTCGAAAAAATCTATTTTTTAATTTTTGGGGGTTAAAATCCAAAGAAATCGAAAAACCGAAATAGCAGTTTTGTAGCCCTTTTAATTCCATCCCTTTTATGTCTGAAACATTTTTCTGTATCTCTAAAGCTGTAGGCCTGACAGCTCTTCCTGCGAAACCTTTTTTTTGGGTCGAAAACGGCAAAAATGACGTCACTCTGACGTCATTAGCGGCCAACCTATCCTAGCCTTTGGAAAAAAAAATTTGGTCATCATGTGCGCTAGCTGCTCCCGGGAGGGTACTGAAAGTTCGGTGACGATCGGCGCAGCGGTTCTCGAGATATATTGAAAAAACTAAAGCGGGGGGGGGGCAAAAAATGCCCCCCCCACCGCCTGGAAGGTTAACATACCTGATGGTCTTATAACCAACACCATTGAGCTGGAAATGAAAAACTGGCCATAAAACATGCATCGCATAACCTTAGTAAAGTTGGGCTCATGTGGTGACCCTTGGTGACCTTTGGTGACCTGACCTGTAACCTGACCTGGTATGACCAGTGACCTCTAATAGCAACATATGTACTAGGCAACTGACGCCTTATCGCTGATTTTCGACAAAATGCGTTTTACTCGGTGTTATAGCGCTTTCACTAGAAGATACGTGAACGGTGAAACATTTTATCTTTGACCTGACCTGTGACGTCATCGGTGACCCCGAGGTCAATGAAATTTGGTTTCCTTCGACAAATTTGACAGGGCTATCGAACGCTGTTTGAATTTTTCGGATCCGTTCTGTAGTTTCGGATATACGGGGGGGGGGGGAAATGCCCCCCCCCCCACCGCGCGGAAGGTGGCCGGGAGGCCCACCGCCTGCCAGGTTAAGCATTTAAATTTTATATTTCAGTATTTTATATTGAGCTTGAAATCTCACAGCCGTGGCCAAAGCCGTAGCCGTGTTCTTGGAGATATTTGCAGCCACCCCGGCCCACAGCCGTGGGGCTGCAGCTGCAGCCGGCCGGTGCAGACTTCTACTTCCAGGTCAGGTCAAACTAAAAAATGTTGCTGTTTTGGGTCACCGTTGGATATCAAGCGCGTTGCTCATCATATACCGATGACGGTGCCGTATTGTGGTGCCAAGCCAGCTAGAATCTCTTTGTCACACTATCCGACCAGGTTTTTGCTGCTGAGGTCATTTCAGGTTAAGTTCGGTCAAGATCAATGATATGCGTTTGTCTGTCTGTGTGCTGATGTGTGCACCGATTTTTTATCTGTCCGTATCACATGAAATCATGATATGAAAACATTTTACCAAAAATACAGTCAAAGAAACTTCACAAAAGCAAAATCAGCTTGCCTAAAACGCAATGATTTTAGATGACCTAGGTTGACCTTGACCCTGACCTTGACATCTGTACATCCTCGAACAACATGCTCCATAATAGGTGGGAGGTAAGGCTGGCAAAAAAAGGCCAAAATCAAGGTGTCAAAAGCTCACAAGACCCATAGCCAACGCAAGATATTGGGTATTTGTCATTTGGCTCATGACATGACCTGAGGAACAAGGTCATATCTCCGAGACCCACAACCCAAAATAGCAACATTTTTTAGTTTGACCTGACCTGGAAGGTCAATGACTGACCTGAGACGGTAAAACTGGGTATCATTGGATTCGTCTCTTCCCAAAGAATCTTTTTGGTCTGTACCGCGAAGCTCTTACCTCCAACAGGAACGAAATGGGGGGTTAGCACCCCCCCCCCATGTGCGTTCTAGGATGGGAAAATGGCATATGCGGGCGAGGGTTAAAGCCAAAACTTTTAGAGACCAAGGTTGAGACTTGTCAGATGCGTTGGCACATGCTTGTGTGAATGAGCATATGCGTCCTGTACTTACATATAAACGGAGCCAAAAGCTCCTTTTCCAAGAAATTTGTCTCTGTAGTACTTGATATGTCCAACAGTGGTTGTTGTCCCATGTTTCACCTGTTGGAAGAAAAAAGTGTCAATTACATTTATTTATCCCGCCCCCACTGCGCCTTCGCGCCCCCCAGCCGGACACTGGGGGCGGGCAAATAGCTGCCCCCTTTTACTTCTCCGAAAAAGGGGGCAACTAAATTTACTTCTCCGGTCGTAACGCGAAAACAGAGCATGATCTGACCTTGACCTGAAACATTCGAAGTTGACCTGAAACTTCGCGTTGACTTGAAACTTGACCTTGACCTGAAACATTCAGAAATCGGCTGCCACAGAGGGCAAGCTTCCAACCGTTAGGACAGCAAGCGGGCCGCTCGGGGGTCGAACAGTCACACCACTGTTGCAGTACTACGAAACCGATCCCAGCTTTGCTCCAGTCCGTCATCAGAATGGTGGGCCGCGTCTTGTCGTAATACCGAAGCCCCTGTTCCACTAACTTGCTGACCATCATCTTTACCTCCTCTAGACGTCTTTTCAGCTGCTCGTCCCAGTAGACCTTCTTCGATTGTGGATTCTTCAGAAGGTCGCGAAACGGCTCCATGATAGCTGCTGTTGCCATGAAGGGCGAAGGGTTTTTCTACTTCTAGAGGACACATAAAAATTCAGAAGAGAGAACAGCTTGTCAATAACCAACCAGGAGGAACACAGCTATTGCCCTGACAAAAAAATGGTTTAAATTAAACTTACTATTCCTCATATAAATTAAAGATTCATGCTCCTTCGATAGAAAGTAACACGAAAAACGGCGCAGCAACGCCTATTTAATTCGTCCCATATTCCGGAAAAAAAAACATTGAAAAATGAGGAGACCTCCACCCAAATGTTTGGCAAAAGCCTTAAAAATTTGAAATCAACCACGCAATATGCTAATAAATGCAGAAAACAGCAACAAATACATGTTTTACTCGCCACTACACTCCCGGGACCGCCACACTCTGTCCAGACAATTCCGCACTGTAGGGGAGAGTGGGGCACATTCGTGCAAAAAATGGATAAATCCATATATCTGTTCTTTGGTTTGCAACGGCAAAATTGTTGATTGTGGTATGGAAAGGAACTATTGCAGATATTTTTCCTCTTTAAAAGTTATCCTCTAAAATTATTGCTTCTATTAGAAAAAAATGACTTTTAATAACTCTGAACGTTTGCACGAAACTGCCCCACCTATGGGGCACATTCGTGCAAGGGGTGGGGCACTTCCGTGCACCCTGCAAAGTTCTAGAAATTACCGGGCATTACCAGAAATTTACCAAAGGAAATTGGCAGGGGGTCATTTCACTTGATTCCTTTCGACAAGAATGCATTGCACAACATATGTAGAAAGAATGGGCTGGCCAACAAGAATGTGCCAACTGCCGGCCTCCGTGACCTCGCCAAGTTCGCGTGAATTACTCGTCACGACGTCGCAAGCAGCCGAGACTGAGTCAGGCGAGCGTCATTAGTGAAACCTACTATAGATAAAGTCATAAATAGCAAAAAAACTAAAAAAATATGCACGAATGTGCCCCCAGGTAGTGCGTACACGAACCTGCCCCACAACGTTATTTGTAATATATTTCAAAATTTCTTGTTGAAAAAAATGACACTTTGTCAACAAACAAGTTTGCAGCAGTTCCGTGAATAGAGTGAGCACCTTCGCCCCCAATTTTGAAAAGCTGAACCACATTTCCGAGTCAGGATCACGAAAATGGATGATATGAGAAAAGTTTGGAAAGCTCACGAATATTACAAATTTGCGTTTTTATCAAGCATGACAGCAGGCACAGTGTTGTCTTCTACGGTGAACGAAGGGAGGCAATGATAGACACATTTCCATAATTTACCTTGAGCTCGTGCAGTCACTCGTGTTCCCATAAACTGCTGAAAACGAATGTGCCCCATGCACGAATGTGCCCCACTCTCCCCTAAATAAAGTCGGCGGTATCGAACAAGCATGGCCCGTCACTAAAGTACTTTTAAGGATATTTACTTTTCGTTTTTTGATGCTTTCTGCTTACAAAATGAAGTCTTATAAAACCATCGTTTGTCGGTAAATTTTTGTCAATTTTCCACGACTCATTACTTTGAAAAATTACATAAAATACATCCACGCTAGGATTTAGACATCCACGCTAGATTATGGACACTTCACTATGGCGAATTGAAAGCGACCAGGGGCGATAGTCGCATTTGCCTCATGTTCGGCGGAAATCGGTAAGTTCCAACATATGCGCAACATTTTCTATATTTGGGTACGATGACGTCGTCAGCGTACCCATTTTTGGAAGATGCGTACCCATATATGGAAAATCCTTCCAAAAATGGAAGGCTTTCTAAAAATGGAAGATTTGACCACAGTTTCCCCGACTGAGGCCCTGGCCGGTGATCCATATCACTTCTCAGTCCGACCTCTACCACTCCTGGCCCGAGCGAATCCTGCCCAGCCTCCTCTTCGACTGGGCCGCGGAGCTACGCTACTACAAACCCACCGCACTCCTATCCTGGATCGACCATCGCCGCTCCTGCCGGACCGCCGAGCACTGCTCCTATCGGACTGACGAGCGCTGCTGCTGGACCGCCGAGCACTGCTCCTGCCAGGACTCCGCCTTCCCATCCTCTATCATCCTCCGCCGCTCCGGCCGGTCAGTCGAGCACAGGCCAGGGAAGAAAATATGACCCAAAATGGCTCAAATTGTTTCCCTGGATCCAGTATGACGCAGAAAAGGATGCAGTGATTTGTGAAGTCTGCCGGACTGCTCAAGTCATGAGAGTTTTGTCGTCATTCCGACGAACTGAAGACCCTTCGTGAAAAGCGGATTTCGTTCTTGGCACAAGGCTCTCCAAAAGCTAAAAAAAAAACATGAAATGTCAAAAATGTACAGGAGTTCGGTTGAGGGCATCCAGTCTCTGAAGAAGAGAAACACTGCGCAGCAAATGATCATGTTTGCGAAGACCAAGGAGCAACATGACGCACGGGTGGCGTTGGGCCGCATATTTGAAGTGTCAGAGCTATCTTCTAACACAGGGACTTCCATTTTGCCGTCGTGACGAAGAGACTGGAAACCTACAGCGACTCATCAAGACTTTCTCAGCGCACTGTTCGGAACTGTTCCCACTACTCTCGAAAAACAACAGGAGGGGGGGGGGGGGCGGATAACCGCCTCCCCCCGTCGGTGCGTGGGTTAAAATGAAGGAATGAATAAGTCAAGTTGAAAGCAGAAATTTGGTTCAAAATGATGTACAAAGCTTAACTATTTAAATCTAAACATCTTCTGATAAGAGCAATTGACATTGAAAATGTGCATTGTTATTCATCGAAAACAGATTATATGTATATGCGGTAAAGTGTCTTTATTTCAGAGGTCGCATTTTACTAAGAATGCGGAATACACGCCGCATACCACCGCCAATGCTGCAACACAGCTCAAATTTCAAAGTAAACATTTATTCACACCATGCCGAATGTGATCACCAAAACTTTGGTATAGTTATATATACAATTACTTACTTCATCAGCGTAGCATATCTCCAGAGGAGGCTCTTCACCCGCCATGCTGCAGGTTGTCCGTTGTCCAGTGGGATGTTCGCTCTGAAATAAACCGCGTTTGGTCAGTTTAGTGTATGTACAAGGCGACAGGAGATTACTATAAAATTGGACAAATGGTAACATGAATACGTCCAGTTATAACTATATGATAAGATAAAATCGTTTTTTCGCGACCCTACGAGGGGAGGGCCGGCTCTGGCGAGCGGCGGCTAGCGGCTGGCGGCGGCGGGCGGCAGGGCCGCGGAGGCGGCGGCCTACTCTGATTGGTGGAGCGTCTCGTGTCACGTGACGGTGGCGGCGCGGGATGAGTCTAGTCAGCTTAGCCAGTCAGTTAACTTAAGTGTAGTCCATTTTGGGATTTTCAATTCTATTTTTAGTGTTTTTGTGTTTCTCTCGTTTTCTTGAATTTCGGCATGAGTTTTTGTTATCTTTTGTTTTATTTTTCTGGGTTCTATCAAGGCCAGAGGAGGGTCGATGAAAGAATGAGTCGGTAAATGTCCGTTATTATAGGATGGTTGAGGGTTGAATGAAACATGGACTGCTGGTAGACGTGGCCTTGGTGGGTTTCTTTAGGTTTGCACTGTAAAAAATCTTACAAGCCCCTTGTAGGAAAACCGCTGGCGCAAAAATGAGCATGCAGCGACGTGTAAAAATCGCCTCATATTTAGCTAGTAAGAGGGTACAAGCTTGTTTCGTTAGTAAATGACCAGCCCACGCCTCATAAACCGAGCACCCCCGTGTCAGCCCCTCGTTTCGTTATTCGGTACTATTGGTGCCAATCGGAATTTCTTTTCTTGGAATTCCAATTTTTGTCCAATTCCAATTTGGAATTTGGACGGAATTCTTAACATTTTTTGGAAATTAATCGGAACACAAGGCCTTTAAAATTTAAAATTTTAAAACGGAGGCCTTTAAAACGCTTTTAAACACTTTTAAAATTTACGCAAAAAATGCAAAAATCGTTAAAAATTGGAATAGCCCCCGCTTTGGACAAATTTGGAAATTTACTTGGCAATTTCTTGGAATTGGATCGGAATTGGAATTGAAATTTCATGAAATTGGCACCACTATTCGGTACCTCGTTTGAAAACGAGGGCAAAACCAGCAGATCGGTACGCCGATTAGGCTCCTTAGCAGGACTCGCCTGGTAACCCAACCAGCTAGCGCCTGCTATTGCTGCCCAGTAGTAATACTAGCTCAATTGCGTCACCCCCCCCCCCTCCTTCTCCCCAGCCGCCCCTCCGACTGGTGGACGACCCGGCCAACGACAGCCACGCCACGTTACAAAAAAAAAAAAAACATACACAAAAATAACGTTTATTACTTATTAGCATACGATACAAAATATCTAAATATATACATATTACAATATCATAGCGGAGTGGTGCAAAAGCTGATTCGAGTCACCACCAATAACATTCACAAAATAATATGGTTGCATGAGACACGATCGGGCACTTCCACGGGCTTTGACGCAACGGCACTTACAACAGGCGAGTGAGCAAGTTGATCCTGCCATGTCAGGTACATTGTGCACTGTGCAGTCCATCAAATATTTGCCATACTTTGCAGATTCAAGCAAGTTTTTTTCTGGGCGAGGCTTACCAACAGAAATATCGCTGGCTTCCGGTATACCTTCATGCCTCAGTCTTCCACAACTTTAAGCAACTCTGCAAACAGAAAAGAAAATTAACTGCTGATTTTAAAATATCAGCGAGGATGGCTTTATTATCTACATCAACTGACTTTTGTATAAGATAAATCAATGTGAGGCAATATGTGTAGCTTACACATTTGGAAAAAAAGGCTAGACAGCAACTGAAAGAAAGTCCGTCTTCCAACAGTCGGAATTCAAACGAAACAGTGGCCCACAACGGTCAAGGGGTGAATTCTATGACGCAACATGTGTTCAGAATATTACAAAATGAATAAAATGTCCCCCATTGCTACGTAAATATCATACAATATAACGTACCTTCGGAATATCCCCGCCCGAGAACTTCACAACGCACCGTGCCACAACACAACCGCACCAACCGCCGGCAGCCGCAGAACTGAACAATGGCGGCCGGAAATGACGGCCCCGCGCCGGAAGTTAAAGGGACAGTATCACCATTTTGATGAAATTTGACATTGCATAGGCCCCACCTTTCTGGTCCTGGAACTGAAGACCGATCCTCGAAGCTCCACACCGTTATCCCGCTATCGCCGCTCAAAGTACGAAAGGTGTACTACACTTTGAATCGTGCTTCACTATCTTCACTGTTTAAATGTTTGCCCCGTTTTGAATTGACCGCCAGTAATAAAACTTTTACCCTGGTCATTTCATCAAATTTTATAAAGCCAAAACGTTTTTCGCACTTATTCATCACCGTTAAATTCATTAAATAGTCGTAGGCAATTTCCGCTGTTTCCTTCGGATTCTAGCGGCTCAACAAAGGATTTCCTCCATCTTGAATCACAATCTCCCTCCAATGTATGACGTTTATCACGTGATTGTCACGTGATATTTTCTCCCATTGTCAATTGTCACGTCCAATTGTCACTCCCTCCAATTGTCACGTGATATTTTTATAGGCAATACCTAAGGCTACCTCTCCCTAAGGCCAACTCAATCAGAAGAACGACCGCGTAAGCGTAGCGTCAATAATGTATTATCTGCGCCAGTTCTGTAGTAATTTTGCATGCTTCCAAACTGGCGGCCATGCTTGTATAGTGGTGGTTCGCTCATGAAAATGAATCATGAAAATGAAATGTGGTTGCAATATTTTTCACCGAGTTCGGTCCTCAAACTATGTTTTTCTGATTCAGAAAAATAAGAAATGCTAGTAAAAAAAAAATCAGCTCCATACATTGATTTTTTTTTTCGATGATACTGTCCCTTTAAGGACGCGTTTTAGAAGCAGTCTCAGACTCGTCGCTGCTCACCGTAGCAGGGATTTATGAGGCACTACCGAATCAAAGTCGTTTCGCCTCATTCGGCAACACGAAAACCCTACCAGGACTAGTCCGATGATGAGTTTCCGACTAGGTGGCGTGTGCGCAGGATTATATTTAAAGCACGTGCAGGGCGGTGCCTCATTAGCCGACATAATAATTATATGACACGATAATGAAACACGCATGTAACTAGCATGCAACAAGCTTCTGGCGGATTTAATTATGAGACTATGCGTAGTTTTCCGACACAGCGCGAAATCTGTTGATAAGCAGGAAGGGGTGTTAGGGAAGCATTTAAGTTATTAGGTTACCGTTTGTAACCAATTGTTTCACGAGGCCACTCTTTAACTAACAACCCTCAGGCTGATAATGTCCCTATATATAACAGCAAGGTACAATGGACGACCGTGTAACCCACTCCTTGTCATAGAATTGGCTCGTGACATTTTTTTACAGTGTGGGGGATGGGGCCGGCGTGGTGGTTTTGTTGGTTGGAAATAGCTGTACTGGTTTTTCTTCCTTCGGAACAGAACGCCGGACTTGACCATTATGCACTCCTTGTGAGTGAACTTGAAGTCAGCTCGTGCTTTCGCGGCGTAGCAGCTCAGAGCGCACTGCCTGGCCGGCGTAGGGTTTGGTGGCCACGTGGTGTTGGCCGGTGGTTGTGCAGAGAGTTGGTAGAATTGCCGTTGTGGTGCCTAGTGTTGGTTGAAACGTGGCTCCCATACAGGTGAATTCGGTTACTGGCGTAAGGTGTACCAGGTGGGCGTACCCCGTGGAGAATGAACTGCTGGTGATGTTTGGCTCTGTCCGAGCGTGTCCGAGCAAGGTTTCTTTTAGTAGCGTAGGATGGGGTAACTTGACTGGCCGACCCCGCCTGTACAATATAAGACAAACGTCAATGAAATAAATCTAGCTTTTATTCATTTGTCATTGATGGACCAAACCCATGGACAAATTTTCAAACCTCTCCCTCTCGTAGTTTTATTCAAAATCAATAAAACATGAATTTCATTGGAAAATGGTAAGTTTTACTTCCTAATTTTTAATCGTTTGGATGGTTGGCATGAGTGAAGACATTATAGTCAAAATTGATGTGAACATGATCAATAACATGCCAAAAATTGTATTGGTTCTTAAGTTTACCAAAGAGAAACAAAAGAGACAAGCTTCCGACAACACTGTCATCATCAGGTCTGAGTTTTTTTTTTTTTAATTCCTGCACACACTTCACAACATACAAAAACATATTCGCACGGTACAATGCTAGAAATGATGGAGGAATGTTTTCCATCATTGTAGCGTGCGAATATGTTTTTGTATGTTGTGAAGCTTGGTTGTGAAGTGTGTACAGGAATTTAAAAAACTCAGACCATGATGACAGTGTTGTCGAAAGCTTGTCTCTTTTGTTTCTCTTTGGTAAACTAAAGAACCAATACAATTTTTGGCATGTTATTGATTATTTTCACATCAATTTTGACTATAAAGTCTTACTTCCGTTCTAAAAATTGTATGGCATGTAGAATTCGGGTTGTGAACGACTGTCGGTATTGAGGTGCCATTCTTCAGGTTATGCAGCGTTTTTAAGAGCAATTTCTTTTATTTCCGTATAACAGTAACGACTTTATAGACAAAACTTTTCAGAATGACATTGCGGGGTAATTTAGCTAGGCCTAATAGAGAAGCTTGGCCGGTGCTGTTAGGATCGTTATGCTGGGACGGCCGGTGTTGTGTATTTGCCTTGACCAAGCTGGCCGGCAGGACTTTAGCTATTGCAGTGTTTTAGAGGACGTGTCAGTTGTTGTCTTCCTTTTTCACGGGGCCTCTCTGTTGCCCATTTATGGTTGGTTGTTGTCAAGGTTGTTGTGTGTCCGACGTAGTGCCAGGGCCTCCTCTAACATACCCACTGGGTGGGCAAATGCCTACCCAGTCACCACAATTGCCCACCCAGTGGCGTCGATTTGCCCACCCAGAAGCAAATGCAAAAATAAAGGTCCGGCCAGACGTCCGGTAGGAACTACCACTTCGGTTTCCCGGGGAAAAAAACTTGCTAGCAGCCAGTGCCCCAGCCCCCAATCACTGCAGTGCAAGTTATTTTTTAC